TGTCAACAGAGTTGTTGCGTTTTTTCTTTCTGTGTGCTAACAATTTTGGCGGTGTTTCCGTATTGTAGCATTTCTGCAAACAATTTCTGTTACCAAGGTCTGCGCCGAAATTGTCAAAAACAGAAATTGTTTGCTGGGTATATATATATGAAAATATGTATTAATATTGTAATAATTATTATATAGTAAAAATGTTATATACCTCCCAAGTATGTTGCGCTTACTCTCTGCGATTGGCCTTATCCTGTAAATCTATTAGAAATATGAATTTATGCCAATGACAAGCAAAAATCGTAAAGCGCATAATAAGCTTAATAATGAGTTCTGCTGAACGCAGCGGCCGACTTCTTCTTTATATCCGACGCGACGCAAGATGGAAGTGTGTTTCTTCTGTAAAAGATGATCATTCGCTTTTGCCATTTTATGGTTTCTAAGATAGAATTAATATACATATTTCAACAGTTTGTGTGTGTAACAACCATACTACAGGAATACAGACATCGATGTCTTGTTCTGTTACCGTCATGTTGCTCCTATGTTGTTGAAAATAAATGACAAAATGAAGTTTTCCACGAATGGAAGTCATTTTGTTGACAACATAATGAGCAACAGTTACTCTTTGTTTACTCTGAATCTGCTGACACAAAATGTCTCAACTTTGTTTTCGTGTTGTTGATTAGGTATGAGTGCATTACGTTTTCAGCAAATACACAGCAACTAGTCGAAAACTTCTGCTTAACATTAAGTTACGTGATTTTACAAAACATGCTTGGCTATCAAGGTTAATTTTTGTTGGAACATATGGCATTCCGAGATGTGTATATATCTTTTCTAATAAGCTTTTGGAGGTAAACGATAGAATTAGTTGATTCTCAGCCTGCCACTTTGATATTTCTATAAATTCGACATTAGCGCCATAGAGAAAAATACCCTAATAGGCACATTTGAGAAAATATTGCACAAAAATGAATGGCGACGATTTTGCAATGATTGCACTAAGATGATTTGCCATAACGCAACAGTTTTGTCGAAATAAAAGTTTGTAAATAATATTTGTCAAAAATTGCGAAAAAGTCGTTATGCATTTCCACAGTATATACCTTCAATAGGCAAATTGTAAAAATATTGCACAAATATGACATCATGAGTGACGACGATTTCTTGCATTTCTTCATATGCAATCATATTTCTACATATTTTAAACATCACATAGGTGAATTTCTTTTCTCAATTATTGGACAATTTCTTTGTGAAATTAATTTTGCAAATATACTGCTAAGATGATTCACCATATCGTTATTCTTTTGCCGAAATAGTATTTGGAAAGTAATTTTGCAAACAACTACAAATATTTCAGAAAAGATCAATGTTTTGCATCTATCTCCTAAAATATGTCTGTATAATTGCAAATTACAATTTTAGTGCAAGATTTCGTCACATAATTTTGTAAATGGTTTCCTATCAGGGTATGTAAAAATATTACTTCCGATATTAATTTTATACAAAAGTGTAAGATTTTTGAAACTATTTGTCAAAGTTTTTTCAATTACCCGCTTTATCATAAAAACTTATCACGCTTCAGCTTTGGTCGCTTTAAGTTCAAAGAAGACGATTAACTCATAGAGGATTGATCTAATGACAGGTAATAGTGGCTGCGGTGATTAGCACCATATATGCGATTGTAATGACCGCGGTAATAGTCGCGTTCGCGATAAACATTGCGAAGGAAAGTCTGATGTCGCCGAGTGCGTGGTTCCTCTTTCTTGTGATGGGCGAGATTGTGATCACAGGTCTTCTTCATCCTTACGAGATAGGCTGTATGGTGCACGGTCTAATTTATTACCTGGCAGTTCCGTCGATGTACGTCCTACTAATCATATATTCGCTCTGCAATCTCAACAACATCACTTGGGGTACGCGGGAAATTAAAACAAAGAAGACTCGTGTGGTAATTAATCGCATCAACTTTACTAACTGACCATTTTACTAATCTACTAATCCAACTTGTATATATAATTTATAGTCATATAAAGTATACAACTATATTAATTGTAAATATAAACTATTTAAACACTATTTAAATTGTTGCTAATTAAGGAGAAATCAATAGAAGTTGTTTGTGAATATGTTCATTATGAATTATTTATGTAATTTAGGAACTTGAGGAAGAAAAACGAGAGGCCGAAGAGGCTAAGCGGAAGGCCAAGCAAAAGTCTCTGCTAGGCTTCCTGCAAAACGGCGCGGGCACCAACGACGACGACCAAGGTTCTATCGAGATATCGTTGGCTGGTTTATTCAAATGTCTTCTGTGTACTCATGGTAAGCCGTCCGCTGAGAAACAGCAACTAGTAGCGATCGCGGAGTCGCTTGAACAACTCAGCAAAAGACTGGAAAGTATTGAGAGGTAGGAAAAGACCAGCAAATGAATATTTCCTACATAAAAATCAAATAATAAAGAAAATATTGTCATTAACGGAAAGGTATAGAAACTGTAGCATTTTCTATGTTCTTTTACAGGGCAGTAGATCCTCATGGCCACGCATCTGGACGAAGAAGAGCCTCTTCTGCGGGTTCGCGCACCGCTGATCATCTGGGTGCTATCGGTGAAGAAGCAGCCGAAGGCGAAGAGGTTAGCGACGCAGAGTCAGTAAGCAGTCAGAACAGCGAGGATAATCGCGAAGGTAGCAACTTCTTCACGCGGCCCTACTGGTTGAACGATGAGGGCTTGAAGAAAGGTGAAGTGGACGTGCTGTCACTTCAGGAAGAGCAATTCTGGAAAGATCTGCTAGAAAAGTATTTGTATCCTATCGACGAAGATAAAGCGGAGAAGGTAAAATAACGATTTTGGAAAAGAAATTTAAAATTCATTCTCTAAAACAAGATTTAAAATAACTTTTATATAGATTTTTACACGACATGTCAAACAACATTTTTTAACTTTTTACTACGGTTCGATATTCTCCAAAAACATTCTTGTAAAATTTTCATCATTAATTAATTTAGTTTTTGATAAGACAGATAAAATTTCGAGAGTAACATGAACATAATAACATTCGCGATACGTCTTTGTCACTGCAAGCTATTGTCGATCGAGGGTGAAGAAGCATAAGGGCTATTGCACGTGAAAAAGTTTAGTCATAACTATAATGTCGTAAGCGATTCAACTAATTATACAGTTTTACAAAAATAGACTGTTTTTGAGGAACTTGAATGAACAAAGTGTTTTTCGATGGAGTTTTGGTGAAAACAAATCTGACAGCAAAATTGCCCACATAGCAATATTACGGAAATATCACAGTAAAATTGCAATATATTAGTAATATTAGATATTGTAATACAATATTGCAATAATATTATCGATACTTAGTAAACAATTTGTTCGCAATTTGCCGGCAAATTGTCAGTAATTTTAAACAAAAATACTCAGCAAATTGACATCAACTGTGTCCGCATTAGGCTTCGATTTTGTTGCTAAACAGTCGACAAAAAGTAACAGCAAATTGCTAACAAAAACCGAACATACCCTGATAGCCACCTGTCTGTGTTTTTGCTGTCATGTTGCCGAAAACAAAACGCTTAAGTTTTCAGCAAATTTAGAACAAGGTGAGTCAGGCATTTGTCTTTGGTTTGACATGACACGTATTCAACATGTGTTGCCGACAACTTGCTGCATATTTGCTGTCAACGGTTTATCACTAACATAAAGAGCAACATGACAACAAGTTGCCAACAACACGTCATAACCCTTACGAAAAAGAACTATTGCTGATTACATATAAATATTACTGGCAATCACACAAGAATATTATTAGGTATTACAGGAAAAATTATTGGATATCACAGGAAATATTATTGGATATCACAGGAAGTATTACAGGTTATCATTGAGAATATTACTAGCAATTACACAGAATGCATG